ACGGGGATGAAGATCTATAGCAAACTCTATACAATGCATGCTGTTTGCATTTAGTAATCATACTCAGTTCTGTGTAACTAGAAACAAGATTCATTGAAGACAATAACTCAGCAGCCTTTTTTGCCATAGTGTTTTACTACAATCCCATTATCCTGCCATATTACGTTTTACAGTATGTGTGCAAGTCCCATAAATACATGAGCCTATGTAAAACAGGCAGCAATGACTCTCACTGCTTTCTGAACTCCACAGCTTGTGAATTTTATGTGGGTTTTGCATTTTGTTGATGTGTTTGCAGCAGGATGTATACTGCCCAGAAGAGAAATTATTTTATATTTCCATTAAAAGCTACAGCAGTAAATAAGCCATCAGAACTCGTGCAGATATTCACTGGAACTTCTGCAGCAGTCCATTAAAGTGTCAAAATCTGTGTTAAAAATTTGAAAAAGTATCTGGATACAGCTCCATTTAAACCTTAAATATATATTTGGATATAAATGATAAAGATATGTTAGAGTATTCTGCAGACCTCTGCAGGGCTCTCGAGTTCACACTCATCAACAGCAGTTCAGCACAACAGCAGATGCAGAAGGGTCTGCAAGTCATTGATACCCAAATACGAACTATTCAGAGATTTAATCTCAGAAGGTATTTACTTATAGTAAAAGAGATTTGGAATAAATCTCCAGGCCAACTTCTGCTCCAATTGATTTTTATCAGCGCTCCAGCACTTCCAGTTGGGACTTGGCTCCTCGAGCTAACACCATATGCAACACAGAACTGCAGCTCTCCCATTTAGCAGCATAAGCACTGCAGCACTGCTCTGACAAAGGTGACCAGAGTCCAGAAAGCAAAAGGGTTCGTTTGATTTTCTTTATGTGAAAGCCTGCTGTTTAGAAATGCTGATCTCTAGAATCAGTGAGTTGGAATTTCTCATTACTAATGTGCCCACTACCAACATCACAGCCCCTAACCAGAACAGTGAAGAGAACTTAAAACCAGGTGCCTAAAAAGATTACTAGCAAAAATCAGCTACAAAATTATGTTTTAATTTGTTCCCATGCCCCAAATCCCACTCTTATGCACTGATAATGTACTGCATGGAATAAAGATTATCCTAAACTTCACTTAATGTATATTGACCAAGTCTCTTTCAGGCTCCAGTTCAACAACCATCACAGAATGCAATGTCACGACCATCAAGAAACAGACAGGAAAGAAATGCCATCAATGAACCAGAGAGGATGCTGTCATTTATTCTGTTTGCTGACTCCAGGATCCTGTAGAAAGCACCAGGATCTATTAATATTATTGATTCCAGATGCAGCCCAACTACAGACTTGCACAAAAGGACAGAATCAAGTTGTTCAATTCTTCATTGTTTCACTTCTAAAGTAAACAAACGTGCCACTGAGAGGCACCGAGTCCAGTGCTCAAGTATGTTCTTAAAATTAATAGAATATCCTTTGGCAAGACAAGAGGAAAACATTCAGGCATGACAGTTATGGTTACCGGCCTGCCAACATTATGGATATGAAATCTTACCCAAGTTGCTTTATACAGTTAGTGACAGTAGGTATGAACAGAAGTAGATCATGTTAATAGTAGACTGTAATACATAGAAAGGAGCCGTAAACACATACTTCTTGAGGATGAGAGCTTAGCATCCATTGCAGAAATTTACCCCTCCTTTGCTTTGCACTGATCTAAAGCCAAGATTTGTAAAGAGAGTAATGGGGCTTAAGGACCCAGCTGGGTTTAACTCCTTTACATCCTAATAAACACAAAGGGTTTTGGGTTCTTTCTCACCAAATATGGCAGCAGAGACCTGAGGCTGAGCACCCACCTGGCAGCTCCCCCAGAAACCACCAGCAGACATGGATTTATCATCCTATCCAACTCCTGTGCTACAGCACAACTGCAGCACTGCACACACACTCTGAGCTAAATGAAGCCTCTACTGCACACAATTAATAAACCTATCTATGGGGAGAATCTCTTGTGGGGATTGTGAGCCAGAACTGTCTCTTCCCTCTGCCAACACTGCATCAATTGTGATTGAAATGGCTCTGGTCTCATCCAATCTGAGCCAGCAGAGATTGTTACATTCAAACCAACATTTTGCCACAGCAGGGTACTATCAGATGCTTTACTTGAAAGGCTGGATTTTCTTTTTTGTTCTGTTAACTCATTAAAAAAAAAAAAAAAAAAAAAAAAAGAATTTATTTGGGTTGGGTGCTGATGCCTGCAAGCACAGCTGCTCACCAGCTCTGTTTTGCTTACCATGCAAATGCATGTGAGGAGATGATGTTAAACCTTTCTGCATTATGCTCAGTTCTTACTCATACTGCTGTGGCAATGTGCATAGAACGCTGCATGCACTCAGCAACCTCCCAAAGCAGAACTTCCCTTACACTCCTCTACTTACAGGAGCAAACTCTAGAGGTGGGCAACACAGAAAAGGCAACAGAGGCAGAAATACAGGCTGGTCTATGGGGCTGACAGCAGCTAATTCCTGGGCCTGCAAACGAACAGAAAGGCTGAGCATCCTAGGAGCAAGGCGCATTGATCAGGATGCTCCAAAGGGCACAGAACGTTCATTACTGGTCATAGTTGGGCACTTTCAATAGCATTTCATGCATGAGAGATGAACTTCAGCTCAGAAGATGAAGACAGTCATCACATTCTCGGAAAGAGAATGCAGATTTAGAGAGATCCTTTTCTATATGTCTTTTACTTCTTCAGACCCAGCTGACACAAGCAAGTGCAATTTGCTGCTAAATGAGTCAAGACAGCACAGTGCATTTCAAAGCAGCATTAAATCCAGAGCTTGCCTCAGCAGGATTTGGAGCTCTTGATTCGTGCCTGTGTGACATTAAAGCTGAATTAGAATACGGCAAATTCCTTATTTGTAATCCTCCTTGGTTGTTTGTTTTCACTAATGCGTTATCCATCTTGAAGACCATTTACTACAAGTGAACTGTGTGAGCACACAAAGCACTGACAATGTTACACTGGCTCCCATTATGTGTAAATTAATTCATACAAGGCAGGTCTTATGTCATATATGGTCTGGATACATTACAACTATGGATCCAAATCTTTAATCCATACTTTACTACCTCCTCTTTTATATATTGCATGCAGAAAGTAATACTAATAAGAAACCTTAATCCAGATACTTTCACTGCTGCCAATGATGAGATATCAAAGTCATATTAATTTTGGAACAGTATAAAAGTAGAAATTTCTCTCAATAAAACCAAACTTGATCTAGAGAAATTCTCTCTGGAGAATATCTCCATGAGGTTTGGTCTTCACCACAGTTATATCACCCCCAAAAGAAAGAAAAAGATCTAATACTGAAGCACCATTGGCAGAGATGCTGACTGTGAGGACATCCCAGCAGTCTCACAGAGCTAATGACTGAGGATTTCATTCCATTCTGGAATGGACTGCCAAGGGAGGTGGTGGAGTCACCGACCCTGGGAGCGTTCAAGGAAAGGCTGGATGTTGTGTTGAGGGACATGGTTTAGTGGGAGCTATTGGGAATAGGTGAACGGTTGGACTGGATGATCTTTTAGGTCCTTTCCAACCTTGGTGATTCTATGATTCTATGATTTGGGAGGGGAGATTAAGCCACAGAATAGGACACTTTTATCCTTAGGTTTAACAATTCCTCAGCACCTTTAAGCTGCAGAAAAATAATTCCAGAAGTGAAGATTTATATTGTTGATAATGGGGCAGGCTCACTGAAATAATGGAGTTAAACTTAAATTTCATTCCAGCGTGAAGTGTCTGTCCCTCACAGAGCTGCATGGTGCGATTCAAGGTTTGGCTGCATCAGTCCTTCATCGCCATGGTCAGAAATAAACCACTCGATTAATTTGTTCCTATGGCAGGCACAGAACTGTGTGCTCTTTGGGAAAATAATGGTGCTGCATTTCTGCACTTGATGGACAGAATAATCAGAATCTTCTCCAAGGGGCTCAGGCAGACATTGGCACAGTAACACAGATGGGGTGAGAGTCTCCTGTCCATTTTCTCCATACCACTATTAGCATCTATTCTGCATCAACTGAAACCAACATGAGCTTCATCCACAGTTACGTCAAGTCTTATCATCTAGGACTTCATCCAAACTCTAAAGAGAGAAATTCTTGTTCCCAAACCATTCAGCCTCAGGTTTTATAGCATTCTACGTTTCTTGGTACCATACACACACCCAACAATTATTGAGCAAAACGTATGGGATCTCTCTGTTACTTCTTATCCAGGGTAGGTCTCCCATAACTCAAAAATACCAAATGAGTTTACAACATGGAGCTTACTGCCACAGACCAGAGCCATTACTCATTTGAACACTTAATTATTTTCAGAAGACAGTTTACCTTGATGAGCATAGAATTAGCCTTGAATCCTTTATGTGAAGCCTTTATGTGAGATTTTACTGTCCAGAGCAAACATGACCTGTTACAATATATAGGCTTTATTAGCAGCAATAACAATCTTACCATCAGCATCAGTAAATCAGGGCTTTCTGAGAACTCTGCAATTTTATCTGTAGAAAACAACAGAAATGCCAGTTTTTCCATTCAGTATCATTCCTAACTTTCCAAAAGGACAGATACTCTGCTCAATACCAGACAAATGCAGGTAATCAGCTCAGCAAACCATGCTTGTTAGGTAGAAGTTCACCTATTTACTCAATAGGTAACAGGTGCCCGTTTACTCATTGTTTCTTTCGATCTTGAGGAGTACAAATGGGATTTACACAAATTATCACCTCAAAACTTTCTGCTCACCTCTTAAGATCGTATTTTTAGAAGTAGCAACAAAAGCAAAGCAACTCAAATCCCCAAAATTGTCAACGTAGATCAACACATGTTGATCCCGCGTGGAGAGTGCAGCTTTTTGCAATAGGGAGAACTGCCACCAACGCTGGGCCTGGAAACCTGCAGTGCTGAGCCTTTCTTGTGTGTCATGCAGAAAAAGCTCACCTCAGCTGCAGGGACGCCCTCGGGGGGCCGGCAGTGCAGAACGATCATCCCTTCAATAGGAACCTCCTTCCCCTGGGGGTCTTGCTCAAAGTTTTTCCTTAAATCTGCAGAGTTCAATACAAAAAAAAACCCAAACTCATTACAACTCCAACACATCCGAAGAACATCAGAAGGTTTATTCTACTCACAAGCGATGCGGACGGATGCCTTCCTGCTCTTTGAGGTCCCCAGATGGCTCCATGCCACGCACTGACACCAGTAATCTTCTGGCCCATGAAAGTCTTCCACCTGCTGCCTCGTCACATTGATGAACACCTCTCGAACTTTCAGGCCTGAAGGGAAAAGATACAGAAAATTAAGTGATATGAGCTTCCTTCCTCAGGCATAAAGCAAAGGTTAGCAGATGCTTTTCTTTTAATTAAACAATTCCATTTTTTTTAATCAAGGCAAAGCTTTAATTACTTTGACAATAATATATTACCATTAATTAAATGCTGAAAGCTGACTAGGTCATAATGCATCAAATGAAACAAATTACCCAGCCACTTTGGCCTTTGCAAGAGTGTAATGCTTCAGAAACCTTTTCTCACGTGCCTTTTGTCACTTGGAGGGATTATTTGGCATTGTATAACATAAGATGAAATTGTATTCCCATTTACCACTCTCAGTGCACTTGAAGCTCTTTCTGAAGCACCCTGGTGGACCCACATCCATTACCCCCAAGTCAAGTCAAACAACCAGAACTGTGCATAAGTGATAGGAATTAAACAGGTTCATCTAAATAACTCAGAAAAGAATCTCATGCAATAACGGAGGCAAACCAGGAGTAATGATGGGAAGAGTCTCATGCTTTTTTTTTCCTCCTGCTGCCATTTCCATAACTCCCCATACACAGCCAACATTCAGCATCACTGCCCTTCAGAGCAGAAGCTTTTGTTTCAGACAAGATAACAAGTGGAGGCCTTCTAAACCTGACACCTTATTTTATACACTCGCAATGTTTGCTATATCTATATGCTAAATACGTAACTACCTTTGTATGACAACGTTGGGGAGAGAAAATATAATCCAAATCACTGTTAAGTGGCACTAAGAATCACTTAGGAGAGCTAGTCAGAAAAACATTAATTTGAAAATTGGGAAAAAAAAAAAGATCATGCCTTCTACTTTCTTCTTTCTCTCCTCTGATGCAGTCCCAAGGTACTTATTTCCCCTTCACTGGAAATGAATGAAAACTCAATCTTAAAATATTTCATGCCTGTGAATTTATAAAGCACCACGAAATTTCTAAACCTGAACTCCATAAAAATTGGCTTCCACTTAATCTCAGGCATCATTAACAAATGGTTGGGTACTTCACTCCTGGAAGGCACCAGGAAGTCAGCCTGGTCCTCTGACATACAAGAGCTGAGGCCACTGGGGATGCTCACTGGAGAGCAGTGGGGGAGGGCAGAGGAGCTATAAAGCAACACAACATTTTTGTTATGTTTCCAGCAGCAGACAAACTATTTCTTTTCATTTCTCTCCTGTTTGGCTTGTCGTATTTCCCAAAGACATCTTAAGATATGGCCAAACCTACAAGAGTTTCCTCGGTTGTCTCAAAAATCATTTTAGCAGCTCAAATATTTATCCATGCTGTAATAAACAAACTGGTTGTTTCTATTTGTGCTTTGTTTTTTACTATGTTGATGCATTTGTCAACAAAATTGTTTACAAAAGCTTCCCTTTGTTTCCTGTAATGATGAAAACATCACTGGCAGAACCCAGCAGTTCTGTTGGAAATCCTCCTCCCTGCTGACACGGGCTATAAGACGTACAATGAAACTGCACCATCTCAAAGTAAACACCCAGGCTGCTCTGAGAGCAACGAATTCCCAAGTTCTCAGCCATACAACCTTCCTATAGAATGATGTTTATGGGCAAGTGATAAGAGCAGCCACAGTAAGTTCCATTAGAGACCCCTGGAGTCCTGGCAACCTGACACAGCAGGTCCCAGTGGTTGAACATTTCTCATTCTGTCATGCTGGATAACACTGACAAACGCATATTTTACTGTTACTGTGTACATGACAAATCAAGCTCTGTGCAATCCCTGGATGATTTCAAAGCTCCAGAGCCTCAAAAGCTCAAGCCTCCAAATCCAAGCTAATTTGCAGCCACGTCCAACGAGGTTGCAACCCATCTACTTAAAGACTTCTTTGACAAGGATGAAAAACAATCAGTCCTTGACAAACAGTGACCTTTCTGAGATGGCTGTCTCCGGTCAGGGATCACTCACCCAGCACTCAATTAGCTGATGCACACTGCTGTGCAGCCGTGTCCTATCAGCCTGTGAGTCTGTGTTTGTAGGCAGTGCAATGCTGCTCTGTGCACTGCCTGAACTGCTACCAAAGTGAGAAGTTCACATGGCATCCTGCTGTACCTAAGTACCTATAGCTGGCCTCCCACAGTCAGCTTATTCCCAGCATGACCTCAAATAGCATCTTCCTGGGGAAAACCCACTCATCCCCTCACCAGCCATCAGCTCCTACCTCGCTGACCATTCCCCACTTGGTTTCGATACAGCCCATCTCTACTGAAATCTCCCACATTTCCAAGCTACTCAAGGAATTTTTGGAAGCAGAGAATAGAAATGAGGAGTTGAGAACTCACAGCTGCTGGTGCAAACAACAGAGCCTTTACTGATACCAACCTGAAAAAATCATCACGTGTGGAAGAGCAGAAGCCATTTCTAGGCTCATTGATGCTGCACAACACTGAGCAGTCACCACTGAATAAAGGCATCTACAAATTTGGGTTTGTTAAGGTAGAATGCTCTCCACCTCAGCTCTTCCTTTCACCAACATGTTTATTAATATTAATTGATATATGTCAGCCTGAAGCAACACTTAATGAGCTTTGAATCAGGCAGCCAAACAGTGCATGATTTTGAGAGATGCACTGAAAAGGGGAGAAGGACAGGAATTCTGTCCCTTGGACTCCATTGCTTTGTCAATCCACAAAACAGATGCATTCGAAAGAACAGAATCCAGGTTGGAAGGGACCTCCAGAGAACATCCACTCTGTGGGGAAAGCTGTTTATGTGTTGTCTATGGAGAAAGTACACCTATTTTCACTTATTTTAGAACCAACTACAGAAAGCAAACCCACGGGGAGCAGAGGCATATATTCTTCATTTATCATCACTGTATTTCACGAGCAGATATATTCACTCACCATCTGTGTCTCAAAAATGCCAGAGAAAACATTCATAGGAAATGACACAGAGCAAAAAAAAAATATCCAGGCAAATACAAACAGGCACATCATAAACAAGAACAACATTTTACCTGTAACTTGTGTAACTCTAATAAGCACTGCAAGTCAACCCTTTAAATTATTGTGCAAATTATAACCATCATCTTTTGTTACACAGCACAGCCTTACAGAATATAAAATTATGACTGTGGTACTGAGATGCTAATAAGCTTTCTGCACCGTTGGATGGTTTAGCTGCAGATAGACTAATGTTGGCAGCAGATGAATAATTGCTCTCCATGTACTAAACATAACAGAGCTGCACAGAACTTCAGCATTTGTCAGCTTTATTTGTTTAAATGAGAAAAACGCTGACAGCAGTTATTGCTGCAATCCTTTTATTTATCAGACGTGGAAACTCAAGTTACTTTTAGTGGTCTGATCCTGCAGTAAAACCAAAAGCTGAGATATTTGTAAACTAATTTGGAGGTGAGGTCCTCAACATTCAGGAAAAAAGAGAAGAAAAGCAGAAAGAAATGCATCTAGCTATAACTATATATTATATATTATCAGATTATATCATATACATCACATTATATTATATTCTTATCACAGGAGGATCTATTAGCTCAAGCTCTTATTTTCTAAGCACACAGAGTGAGCAAAGTTCCCCTGCTGCAGTGCTTATGGAACCAAGAACAAAAGGCAGACTGTGGATCGCTCTCCCCTTTTTTTGTAGCTCAGGAACTAAGGCAGAAGATGAAATAATTGGGTTTGTAACTGAGCAGTGGACCACAGCAGTGCATCCATCAGTCATGGCACATGCTGCCTTACCTGCCCTGACTTCATGCATCAGCAGCAGCAAAGTCACCACAGCACAAGCTGCAATGCAAACCATCAGCCTCCCAGAACCCTTGATACACCCTCAGGCAGCCAGCTCGTGTCAGCCCAGTGTTTAACTACAAACCACACAGAGCTACAGAATTGATGCCCTTCCTCTCAGGTTCACATACTGGCTCTCATTATGTGCACTCCTTGCACAGCCTGGCTAAGAACACACAGGCAGGAATTTGCAGAGACGCTAAGATGTGTGTCTTGCTCACTTATTTGTTTCTATTCTTCACTGCTATTCTACTATTCTTCTCCAAATTTCCACCACATACCAAAGAGTGGAAGGATGGAACAAGGCAGCCTCATTTTCGTGCAGCATGACTTCCTTTTGGTGAATGCATTGACACTCATTAACCAGAGCCACCACTTGTGCCATAAATTTGAGTGCAGTTTCTCACAGATGGAGCCCACGCAGTGTGCAGAACACGAAGTGTTTGGTAGCAGAAATGTTTATTCTCTGGATTTGGCTCCAGAGATGAGAGGACTGTCAGAGCACTCATTTACTCCCCTCAAAAAACCTCACGTCTGATGTTTCCTGAAGGCTGGGGAAAGGTTCTGAAGTAGTTTGTGGCTATGGATACATCTAGGAGAGAAGAACATCCAGGCCTGTCCTTCACAGCTCACCCAACGTAGCCGTTCCTTGTGCCTTTCTGCATGCTGAGCATCATCACGGCTGCTTTTAGAACACATTAACTATTGGGATCACGCCCACGTGCAGACAGCAAACAATACTTTTACTGCTAGCTCTGCCCTTGGGCTAAATTCAAATCTGCATCATTTATATTCCAGATCCCATTCGCTAAGTCTGTGCCTCCATGTCTCAAAACTCAATGTTACCATGTGTTATTTAAAAGCAAAACAGAAAACCTACCACCTAATGTTGCTTCATTTTTTTTTATTCTATTATTAATCCAAGGCTTATAAAACATAATTGCAGTATTCACAAGACAGCTTTTCATTAACCATATGGAAGAAAAACATTTAGGAGCGACATTTCTTCTATATTGATTCAGCAGTGCCTTTAGAAGTAAAGGTTACGCCTATTAAATTCTTTTTGAAAAGGTAACTGTAGAAATTAGAGCTCACTCAGATTAGCATTTACAGAAAGCTGCAAGGATGAAATTTCTTCAGAATGTGTCACTTAAAGTGAATGCCAAACACCACTGTCACTTCAGGAGATGTATCTTCTTCTTTAAACGTGGTTTTTCCCCCCTCTAAAGAGGAATTTCTGGTATTGATGGAGAGGATGTTGTGCCTACGCTGCTATTTCCAACCCGTGGAGTTGCCTAGCAATCGTGGAAGTTAAAAAGAGGAGGAAAGCAATAACAAAACCGAATTGCGAAATTACAAGACAGCGCAGCGTTAAATTGGTTTGCAATAGTTATCAAGATGCTTTTAAATGAGAAAAGATAGAGGGTGTGCTGGAAGCATGATAAAATCTGTTGATCGCTTTCAACTTTCTCCCTTCTTATTTCTCTTCCTTTGAGAGAGACGCTTTTACACAATGGATTTCTCCTGCTGAACTTGGTTACTTAGCAAATAACCATTGCTTCAGCTCAGTGCACCCCGCAGCTCTTTGCCATTCAACTGTGTCACGACCCCAGTGCAGTTTGTGCTTACATCTCCCCAAGGACACTGCCCTTACCTGTGGTCTCATCCATGCTTTCCTCCGACACGTGCTCGTTTTGGTGGACCCATTCACCATTGCACTTGAAGAAAATCTGCATGGCTGGCATGGCTTTGCAGCGTAAGACAATGGGGTTGCTTTTGATAATGTAGGCATCATCTGGTTCCTCCATGAAGTGAGGCAGCGTTCCAGGAGCAGATGGGATGGACTCTGGAAGGGCTTCGCTGTTATCATTTCCTGAAATGGGCAGAAAGGAAAACACACGTTTTTCACGTTGCTTTATTTTTGTATTAAACGGGCTGTAAACCAGTTAAACGTCCGTATTTTATTAAAAACTAATTTTATTAAAGAAAAACTTGAAGAATGCAATAGTTATCAGGACTGCTTTGGTGCACACCAAGACAAAACAATAATGTAAGAACTTCCAGGGAAATCAGAACGTCACAAAAAGGCATCATCCGTACTGCCAAGTTTTATAGATGGGCACAGAAAGACTAAATGGGTCACCACAGATCATACAAGATGCCCGTGGGAGAAGTAGAACTAAACCTTATTCTCTTGAGCAGCATTCAGAGCTATAACCACCAAAGCACCCTTTTTTCCAATGCTGACTTTCCTTCAAACAGCTGTTGCACATTGAAAGAGGCTCAGAGTACATGGAGAAATGATGTGAGCAGCACTACCGCAGCACTTCAACAGTGAAATAAGCAAACCATGTTTCCAAACCCACACAGAGGGAATGTTCAATGTGCTCCTACACTGATCCCCCTTCCTGCAACCCCTTAAGGTGCTGCAGAAATTGAAAGAAATTGGAAAAATTGGTTTCTGTAGGGCTACAGCCTGTGGGGGGTAAGGCTGCACTGTGGGCAGGAGGATCCAAAGGCACCCAATCAGCACACGTCCTATTTTCCTCAATTCCTCTGCTTAGATGTGAACACAGAAGCACTCAAACAATAATGAGCATATGACATCTATTTTTAATAGAAGTAACCCTGCTTAACACTCTGTATCTGTATTTGAAACTATACACCCTGTACGTGATGGGAAATGATTATATTTCCGAGTGAGACTGAGAGACTTCCATTTTTCACAATGTTTTAAACTACATTTTTAGTGTACTTTATAAAATATTATCATAATTCTTAGCGTTTTACTACTGAACAGTTATGCCAATTTTCATCTTGTCAGTCTTCAGTAATACTGTGTCCCTGCAGGCCTTATTAAATCCATGCTTTATAGAATGACACTTTTTCTATTTCCTGTGAATTCAGAGAGGCACAGGAATCCCACTCCTCCATCAATTCTATCAGTGCTCCACGAGGCAGCAATGAGTTTGTGTGGGTTAAGGCTGGGTTGGGAAGGGACCTCAAAGCCCACTGCTCCCATCCATCCCCAACTGGGCTGCAAAGGGATGCAAAGCCCCATCTGTGGCTTCAGGCACCTCCAGGGATAGCAGGAATAGTGGAAGACTTTGGGAAGAACAGTGGACAACTTTACAGGGATCCTTTTAGTCAGAGGACTCAATGTTATTCTGGGAGCCCTTCAATTTGTTGTTCAGAGTGAGTTACAAAGGATGAAACCCAAACAGTGCTGAAATGAAGGGCTGGGACTTAACAGCAACACAGCCGTGGTGTTACTGGCTTACTGACGAGCACCTGCAAACAACAGACATCACTCTTTTACTACTTGTGCTTAATTTCACACATCTTTCTTTTCTGTTTTCTTTCAGTGGTGCCTCACTTGTTTTAACATCCATCTAAAGCCTGCTGGAACTTTATAAGGGTTTTGATTTCAAGTTATTGCAGCTGTCAGCCTTCAAGGTTCAGCCATATGTACTCACAGGAAGGCGGTTGTTCCACCACAACAGTGAATGACAGAGGACAGAATTACCAAATGCAATCCCTGTGTGGCACTCATACTAATTAAGTAGTTCTGTATCATTTACCAGCGGTGCTGAATAAGTAATAATTGGATTCACTTTCAATGTATAGAGTTTCAAGAAAAATTATGCAGTGAGATTCATCAGCATGCATCTTTGATTACTGACCACTCTTCTGTTTCCTGCATCGTCAATCTTTGCTAAATACCACGTCCCTATAGACTTCAGTAAATCCATGTGGCAAAGGAAATAACAAAGGCATTAAAGGATTTCACACAGGCAACAAAATCTCGTATTTCTATCAATGTCTGCATGGCTGTCAAAAAAAAAACCAAACAACCCACATTTCTGCATACGTGGCAGGGTCAGATGGTTAAAAGAATGAAGGCAAATCGCATTGAAGTTGCTTTTCCAACTAACAGCCCCAGTTTAGTTACAAAAACTGCTCCCCAGTGAAGGAATGTGTCTAAAGGGGATTGCAGGTGGGAAGTCAGGCATTGCTTGCAAACGTGCCGTGCAGCCATTGTAGGGTTTGCCATACAATTCCCATTGGAAGTCACAAATGCAGGGCATGTCTCAGAGTGCCAACCTCTGGTGGCAGTGTGTGAGACTCAGAGCCTTCCTATGGATATAAAGTATAAACTCCCAGCAGCTGTACCATAATACTCCCCATCAAATATTTGGGCGACAGGTGGAAAATTGTTCTGCCAGCTGAGGGAAGACAAAAATCCATTCCTCCTGGCAATTTTCTGCAATGAAAACTCCACAAAAAAAAAAAAAGAATGTGCAATAAGTTGTGGAAATAAATCTAAAATATTATCATGCAAAAGCAGCGTGCTCAAAATTTTTAGCTGCAAACAAAGCTCACTTATCTAAATTGTAAAGAATTCTATTTCTTCAGCAGAGGAGTGGATGCTTCCACTTGGAGCTTCATTTTACATCTGTTTCTGCATTGTTTTTTTTTTCCATTTCACTTTGACAGCACTGTGTGGCTTCTTCAATCACTGCTTTTAAAGCATCACGAAGCCTGACAACATATCTGGGCAGGAGGCATTGGCAGTTTCAGTTTCCCAAAGGGTGAATGGTCAAGTCTGCAGATGGACATTGTGAGCTGGCAATGCAGCCAGCAGCCCAGCGCCACAGACCTGAGTTCCCATTCTATTAAAACCATACTAAGCTGCATATGATATTTCCTTGTAGTTTAGAAGGCTTTGGGTGACATCGTGTCCTCTTGAGCAGAAAAGGAGAGCGAAACACTGGAAATCTGTTGTCTTCAACACGATTAAAAATCAAGGCAAATATTATTCATCTATTTGCTTTAACAATCCTTTCCTATGTAACCTACTCTACATCTACAAAGCTGTAAAGGTTCAGTGCTTTTTCCAGCAGTGATAAAATGGACATTGGGTGAAAGTCCTGGTGTACACAGAAGGTTATCTGTGGGCTCAGGAGTGATGAGTGGAACTCAGGAGAATGACAGAACGACCTGAAGCACTTGGAAGTGACTGAGGCAACTTTAATAATTCACTGCTTCGTGGTGAAAAAACCCATAAGAACTGCCTGTGTCTGCTGAAGGACGAGCCAACACTTTGATGTGAACCAACCAACAAGAAACACACATGGGAACCCTCCACTGTGAGCTGTACTTTCCTTAGAGAGGAAAGGAGAGAAGCTCCTTTCCTTACACGATCCTATTTCTTGTATTTCTCTGAACCCTTTTTTCCCCCACTTTTCACCACACAACAGTAACAACACTACAATCCAAACGCCTTTTCTCACAGAATCCATTCGAAAGAAACTCCACCATGTCAACAGCGTTTTGCTGTAACAATAAAAGCCTCTGAAGTACCGCTCTGTAAGTGAGCACAACCGCTTTCACTGCGAAGAATCTGTGTGCCAATGTGACCCAGGCCATCTCCTCAATCCTCCTTTATTCCGTTCTCTTTCCCTCTAGCAGCCTGTTTCAGTAACACTTTTCCCCATGAATTCAGCTGACGTTGTGCTGTCCCCTCCATCCCTGCTGTTGCACAGAACTCACAGCAGCAACTTTCAAGAAACATTTTTAATGGGTTACAGGAGGACACCGTGTTTGTTTCCATCCATAAGGATTAATATGCTCATGAAACAGAAGTCTTTTTAGTGCCAACAGAGATTAATGTTACACTACCATAATCCTTTATGTATTCTAAACCTATCTGTATCAAAGCTATACATGCTTTTAAAAATGATATATTCAATTTATTAAAAATTAAGTGGATTACAAACTTGAGAAATCTTTCATATGTTCATACATTCAACATCCACTTTTTTTTGTCCTATATGCATTAGCAAGGAATATCGATCTTTAAAGGAAAAAGACTCCCTAGCATTCTAAAGAGACAAATCAGTGACACAGAAATGCAATGTGTGAATCATAGCAAACCACAAGAAACAGAAAAAAAACCAACTTTAAAAGCAAAATGGGAAAACATGTGATAATACCTGATTGTATGCATACAGAGAATCAAATGGATGAGGACAACCACTGTGTATTTAGCTAGCAGTCAGCCTGAAAACATCACTGCCTCACCAGCATTCTGAATGAGCAAAACACACCTAAAACCTTCCTAGGTACAACACAGCTACCACAACATGCTGACCAGACAGAGGTCAGCTTCAATGGCAATAGCATCAGCTACATAATCATTAAGAATTTCCTGCAAACACATCATACTTGTCAGCAGGTTGTAGGAGATGGAGGAGACTTCAGCATCTCACATCTCCAGATGGTGCCACAGGACCACCAGATGTGCAGATTGCACTGAAGGTTCAGGCTCTGCTGTTGCCTGTTTTAAGAACAAGAAATAAATAACAAGGAAAAAAAAACCTGAAGAAATTAACACACATCATTGGGTTAGATGATGTTACAGGTGCCTCGTATCGCTGCCAAGTGCAATGGTTACCATTACAAAGTCAGTGTTTCCTTACAGCTCCTACACTATGGAACAAGTCTTGAAGGCAGCTGGAAAAATTTAGCATAGATAGAAGTACATGACAAAGCAGGAGAGGGGGGAGGCTCTGGAAAGCCTTACTTGGATTCTGATGCGTGCAGATACCTCACATTGCCTTGAAAGCTACACATATTTCTTAGTAGTCTGGTCTTCTGCTCTAGGAACAGACTTCTCCCAAGTACAATTATTGACTTAACACAGCTGCTTATCAAGTCCTGGGTCAAAACACAGTACCTGCTGATGCAAGCAAGCACTCCGAGCTCAGCAGCAGAGCAATAATAAATATAATAAATTTGTACCCAGTCCATAATCACACCTGTGGCACAACGCTCATTCTTAGCTGCAGCAGCATTTTATTTACTGAATGAGCCACCAGAGCTCCTTCCACGAATTCAATTCACACATCAATTGTCATTATTAAGGCTCAAGGCTTTGACGTGCCCAGCAGCCAATGCAGCTGCAGGAGGAGATGCTCACTGCAGAGACATTGGCATTCTGCTTCACGAAGAGTTCTGTTTTGTTTGCAAGCAAGTAATAAGTCTGTCATGCATCTGCTGATCATATATTAAGAAGGGGGCAAAGAAAACCCACACGTACACCAAACTGATTTTCTTTTAAAACCACTGTAACAGCAAAGCTGCTCTACAGATAAATGTCAGTTTAATTTTTTGTAAATGTTGAAGGGGAAAAAAAAAAATTCTTCCTCCACCATAGAATAATGCCTGCAACTCCTGAACACGTGTCACCCAGCAAATCTTCTCAATGCTTTTCTTTCGCTGCCTGCACAGAAAAGCAAGCAGTATCTGTTCAATGCTGTGCGTAAGATCTCAACACAAACTCTCCCTGGCTGTTGTCCATCTGACCTTTTCAGGTCCCTCCAATCCAGCAGAAAAGGTGCCAACGACCTGATGCTCTCAAACAGCACATGACTGCATTGAAGATAAGGACAAAAAACAACATATACTGCTTTTAAGACAAAGTATCAGGGAATCCTTATTTGGCCAAGAGATGGACATCTAAAGTAGAATTTCTATTCAGCTACAAAAAACTCAAAGCAGAAAAAAAAAATAATGAACCTGTAGGTTGTAAACATGCAAACATTCACCATCAAGTCAGAGAATTCTGAAATTCAGGTCAAAATTTGGCTGAATCACTGCATAGACAAAGCCTGGCTTGGCCTTCAAACTTCACAAGGTCAAGGTCTGATCCCAAGCACCAAGCCTTCCAATGGTTTATATAGGAGCTGTGATAACCAGGGGTGACAAGGATCCTGAGGGGTGTGCAGAGAGCAATGGAAGCATGCTGATTTGTACTTTGGTCAGAAATAGCTCCTATGCTTACAAGCTCTAATCATAGTCTCATCTAAAATATCTTTCCCATTGGAAAAGTTAGTACTTTTCATTTATTTTCTTTTTTTGCCTTATATCGTAACCTTGCTGTGCATCAAACTCAAATATCAGTCACTGTTAGAGGTAAATTACAGTATGGCACATGACATTTAAATCACTCCTATGTGAACAGACATTATCACAATTCCAAATACAAAAAGGAACTTCCCCCTCTCACCTATTCCTTTTTTTGCCAATGCTCATTACCAAACGTGCAAGCAGAACAAAACATGAATCACTGGGCTTCTTTGGGCTTAAAGATCTCTTTTATAAATGTATACATTACATTAAAACCAGAACCTGGCCTGAGGTGAAGCACAGATATACATCACTTGGCATGAAAGTCAACGACAAGAGAAATAAGAGGTCACATTTCTTCCCTTGCGTTTGCAAACAGTGCTGTCAAGCTCCTCCTTAGCAACATGACCTCTTACAGCCTACTTTATCCAAAACTGTACTAATAGTCATATGTACATGCAGTTACTCTATCTTAATTCCTGCCCCTGTGGTATTCACTAGAAAATCCAACATTACCACCAGTAATTCATCCCAAGAAAAAGTGAAAGTGCATTTTTGCTCACAAATCATATAAAGCTCCTCAAAACATATAAATAAAATAATCATGGAGTTTTCAATACATAAGCTGTTCACCAGCAAACACTTCCCTTTTTTTTTTTAAGGTCATGTTCTCACTAAATATCAAATATGTCTCTCATACTCTAAAATACCTCTAGATAAAATGGACCAAGACATGAGAAAGGAGGAGAGCGCTCTAAACTGCCTTATTTGCTCCTGAAACGTAGGAGAAGACAGCAATACAGCTATGATGAGGCCTGAGTTCAGGTGTCTTGGTAATTAAGGTCAACACTCAAGTGTTCATTTGCAAAACCCATGAACTAAGAGACAACCACAGCTGTGAGAAAGCAACAGCTTCTTTTCCTCCTGGCAGGGTTTGAGACATCGCTGTCATGCGTACCTTGAGGCACTCGATAGCCAAGAGTAGAGAAAACAGTGTAATTCTCAGCAACTGCCTTCTAAATCCCTAATGATCCAATTAAAAACTGGACTAAAGATTGCTGTAGTTATTTTTGTTGCTTCTTCAGGTATCTCAAACCTAATAACGTAAGAAAATACCCAACGTTATGCATTGATAGACATCATTCTATCTGTAACATAGAGCACACACTTTAGAGCAATGAGTTCAGATGAGAAGATCACTACATTTCCTAATACACATAAAATACAGAATTAAAATCACACGTTAATTTTTCTTTGCAAGTGTTTTCATTCCTTGTCACATTTCACACAAATTAAGCAGAGCTCAATAGAGACACATTACATTTAACTTGACTTTAAGGGTCCTGCCTATCCTAAAACTCACTCTATTGTGTATTGGGCATTTTAAATATAACTGAATTTATGAAGTATACACAGTATCCCACAACAGAGGAAAAATCCAATTAGGAGATAGGTTCTGTGTAATTAGAGAGACTCGAGTCCCAGGTGTTTTTAAGTCTTTCTGTAAATACTAATCAAAGCAATGTGACATTTGCATTATCAAATATTTTCACATGCATATTTGCAGTAACTACATGTCATACAACAAAGGAAAAAAATAGAAAGCCAGAGTGATGGGCACTGTAGTGATCCTTGTGCTCCTGCAGAAAGGATGTGCGAGTTGGCCATTAACTTTCTATCTATCTGCTTTTTCAAGGTAACCCTCTGCTTCAAATACTTGATGAAATAGACATAAAACCAACTGCAACAGCTAGATGAAATAACCACAGAGAGAAGCAGGACAAGGAAATGGTAAAATAAACATCTTTCACAGCCTTTTGGTGGAATGGCACTGCAGACTGGGCAGTTTATTAACCCACCTGCCACATACTGGTCATTTCCCATCTGCAGCAGCATCACCCCCAATGCTCTGCATGCAACCCTATCCACCCATGAAAGTACTGCAGTGCAAATTCTGAAGCAGCAGTTGAGATGAGAACCCCAAAGGACATCTAGACAAAAATATACTCGTGTATTCCTGTAGGCACCCTACCTATACTGAGAACTTTCTTGAGAGATCCAATCTTAGAAGGTCCTTCATAGGGAAGAACTGAAATACCACTCACCAACAGCTGCAGCATGTGCAGAACTGCACCATCTGTAAAAAGGAACAACCTGAGAGATTCTGAATCACAGCAATTCCAGATAGCTCTGGAAAGATGTCTTCCCTTGGCATGGAATGATTTCTCATGCAGCTGCTTACCAATTTCCTTATTTTTTTTCCCTATCATTTTCCCTTACAGTGAATCAGAATCAGTTCTCCAACACTTTTGCTACCTGGCAGCTGCTGTCCTATTGATCACCTGCCTGTTTGTGCAGCTGCTGCTGGGGGAGAAATAACTCCAAAACAAAGCAAAAGAGGAAAAAATAAAGCACAAAAAGATCAATTTGGAAATACTGTCTCTCAAGAACCTCCTACACCAAACGCCCCTTCAGCTGACAATTTTGTGCAGCACAAAGATTTAATAATTTTCAAAACCTGACATTTTTCCATCTGAATCACACCTCATGCAAAATCTTTTCTGTGCTCTGCTGCGTTTCAAGGAGAAGGGCATTTTAAGCTTTTGTCATATTAAAGACCTGGAAAGACATACAGCTGTTAGCTCTGCAGCAGTTGCTCGTGAGAGAAACGCACACGTTGGGTGAGAATGGCAAGCTATTCAAATACTGGGAGATTATCTTGTTATGTGCATCAGCTAAAGTCTCTTGTCCTGAAATCTCTCTACAAGCACAGATACACCTTGAAGTAATAAAGCTCATCCACCCTTCTTTCTCCTCTTCCACCCTTCAGATCAGTTTGGGTATTCATCAGTGTTAGGGTTTACCCTTGCGTGAATTCCATTGATTTTAACGTTGTCTGCCTGTGGGGTTTCAAGCAATTTTACTAAATACTGCGTTATCTGATTCTCCATTATACAGAATGATTTCCAAAGGAGCCTCAAGCAGGCTCCTTTTTGAATGCAGGCTCTGGAACATAGACTGTTTCCTGATGTTAAACATCCCTACATTTTGGTGAGGAAGCATAAACCCTGTGTGCTCCAGTATTCCTGAGAGCATCCCTCATTTATCCTCTACACAGCAGTGGAAACAAGGTTCAGAATGGGGCTTTTCATTGATTTTTTTTAGAGGAAATTCTGTGCTTTTTATTTTTCAGATTCCATGAAATCAGAATGTTATATGCTATTATTCAACCAACAAACAATATTTCTTTTCTGTATTGGTAGAATAACCTTGATTTCCAAGAGGCCAGGTAGAATCAGTGACTCACAAGGATGTGAGTTTCTATAGTGGCATCATCTCATACCACACATCCCATCTCCAAGGAGGGAGGACAATCAGACTAAGAGTCCACTCACATCAGTACAAAAGCTCACAGCATCAAATACCAAAATAAGGGCCCTCCAATCTAATAGGAAGGTTCATATTTGTAACAGAATATTCCCACCCTGAGATAAAGCATTAAGAATGCCTGGCACAATAAATTAACAAACACCTTCTGTAATCTGATGAATAATAACACAAAGATGATTGACTGCAAGAGGTTTAAGTTGGGGTTGGCTTCCAGTACAGACACACTTCACATCACTTTCACAACTTCCTTCAATACATTCTTTGACCTTCAGGTTTTGTGATTTCAAGATCTGGACCCAAACACCAGATGCCCCCCACACACAAAGGCCAATCAATCTGGCAGCAGCAGAGCCAGACCTGCTGCACACATCTCAGCACAAGTTCAGCAAGCAGGCTGTATTTCAATAGCATTAATTTCAATAACAGTAGGGCTACTTTAAAAAGCAGAAATACGTTCCTACGTTTCAAACTGCAGCCACATCCCCAAAGGGAAGAAAACTAAAGAGCTCAGAAACAACTCTTCATAGATCTTCTCTGTGGTTTTTGGCTTCAAGTTATTCACAGATTACAGAAGCCATCAATTTCTCCCCTCCTGAGGTTACTGTATATATACCACCAGATAAATGCCAGAAAACTTCATTAAACACCCAGACATATGCAGTTTTCAGTTACAGGCAAAGAACTTGCTTTGCTGCTTTACTGAAAAGTGAATGTCATCTCTTCAGAGATGCTTGACAAGCCAACGATGCCTCGAGCTGCAACCACTGATCCATTCCTGACCTGATCACTACTTCTTGTCCAACAATACATTGCACTCTTTATCTCAGTTTACCCTCAAGTGGCTGCTAGATGTTAGGTTGAACAAGCCAAGTCACTCAGTAAAGCTTTGTGGTTTTTTTATGCCAGTGTGAGTTGGACCATTTCAACTGTGCAATGGCAGCTGCTTGGTGGTGTGAGAAGCACTGCTGTTGTGTGTCATACAGTCCGCAAGCAGAAGCACTGGACTAAATCAAGAAGTCTGCAATACAGATTTGTACTGAATGCAGTCTATTTTCATAACAGGCACATGTAATCCATAGAAAGAAACTTTACTTGACAGCAAACTGCAAGGAATTTCCTACCTGGTGAGGGGAAGAGGGGTAAATGACCATGTTCACACAACTCAGCAGCTGCTCTTAGAGCAAAAAGCTGCAAAAAACATCCCAGCATGCTCCCATTTTCTCCAGCACGTCAAAAGCTACTGAGTATGACATTAAAATCCATCTCCTTTCAACTCCACAAACATGATACGTTAGCTGGATTGCTCTCTGTGAGGAGACGTGGTGCTTTAGCAGCTGTGATAAATGCCCACGTTTGGTTAGTGCTGTGATGGATAAGATGCAGCTGACAGCTGTTCCCACTGAAGCCCCGTGCAGCTGTGGCTGCCATATCTCACCTGCTGAGCCCTCCATGGGTAGGTAAAGTAACATCCTGGGGGTGACATAACACAAAGCATAAAGCTGATCCAACAATATGCCCCTGATACATTCCTTCACCATTTAAAGCCATAACAGATCATTTATTCCTTACAAACACGATGTCTGTGCTCCTATTCAAGTCCTATCTACCTAGAATCTGTCTAGAACCTTCTTTTCCTGATTCTGTGTAAACAGCTAACAAGAAACTTGAACTGTTGACAGTGAAGTTGCATTTCCAGTTCTGCACTCATGTTGCTTTTAAAAAGCTGATCAGATACAAACATGTGCTAGCCTTACAACTTATGCTTATCTCATTGCCTTAGCATGGACAGTACAGACAACTGCACTGATGATACAGACTCCCTGCAACCTGTCCATGCTGTGGCACCTCTTACAGCTGCCCAGCTTGATCCCATTGATCTATGGGAGAGGAAACAACGTGAAGCAACAAGGTTTGCATGTCAGAACAGTTTCACCATTCTCTAACACACCCAATAGTCACTTGCCGGCAGCAAGTTCTTGCCTTGCTTTTAGGAACCGAGAGCATTGGAGGCTTGAACAAATTCCTTGGTTCAGAAGTCAGATCATCCACAGACATTGCACAAAGAACAGAAAGCAGTGCTATGAGAATCAAGCTGATATATGTGCACAAATCCAAGCTCGCAACCACACGTTACACAATATATTATTCAAACAGACAAACGTGTATTACTAAAGCGTGACAAATTTGTTCTGATGCTTAAGAACCTCTGCAACTTTGTCACAAACACAGAAGCAGCAGTTCTACAAAACCAACATGTACTCACACGGGGAGCTGGGAAAAGAAAGAATTACACTGATCACATTCTTTTTATTAATAATGTACAAAGCCTTTGCTTAAATCTAGATTGCTTGTCAAGACAAAAGCATCCTCAGCTTTCCTATTTTCCTAAACCAGAACAAAGCGTAAAGGTTTTTCCTCTTCCTTCCAAATGCCTGCTGATCCCCAGAAGTCTCACATTCACTGCTATTGCCACAGCACAGGTAAAGGCTGTTGTAATACAGCACAGGTAAAGGCTGTTGCAATACAGCACAGGTACACGACTCACTGAGCTAAGTCCAAAGGGATGACAACAACTGACCTCCAACATTTCTCTGTGCCCTGATTCTTCCCCCCATCCCATCAGGGCTCAGCAGTAGCAATGAGCTCCCAGGCAGGAGCTGCGTTGTGGTTCATTCTGCACAACGTGGGCACTGTGAGCAGAAGGGGAACTGAAGAGAAAGGAGTTTCACACAAGCCTGACTGCAGCACTGCAACCTGTTGGAGAAGTCATGAAAGCAAGGGTTTTATAGTAGGAAAAATAAAACCATTTTTGCACGTTTGACCAACTAGATAAAAATGTGTAGCACCCTGAACTGAGCTATTGCTTGCAGTCAAATTCAACATCAGGAGGAAAGAAATAGCATCTCCTGGAAGCTGGTAGCCTATAATTATCTTCACGTAGTTAAGTATGTACATCTGCACACTGAACCTGGCATCTTGTGTTTAGGAGATGCTCACAAAGCAGCATGGGGCTGCCCAGAGCCTTGTCAGCTACATTCAACATGTCTTCCTCTGTTTTTTATGAAAAGCAATGAGAAAGATGAGGAAATTATTCAAGAACTGTGTTCAAATGTCTATGAACAATATCCTTTTCATATCTGCAAGATGATGAAAACCACTTGTTACTTCACTGCTGTTTGAATCATCATCTCCCCAAGAAAAGCAGCATTATTAATCTAGTATGTTTATCACAGCTCTATGATTGAAAGGCTTTTTGTTCCAGGACTTGGAAGATGTATTTGTCAAGTCTGACAGTTCTGATGCAGCCTTGCAGTGAACATCAGTGTCTGAGAAGGAATTTATGCAACCCTGAGCCCTAACAAGCAGCTAGAATCTTGGTGAGGTCTGATACTTGAACTGAGCAGGAAACAATCCAGTATCCGGATGGAAACCCATATTTCCATGTAAGAAAAAGACTCACTAGAAAGATAAAGTCCTGTGAAACAGTGAAATGCTAAATCTCACGTGTTTAACATAGGCTTTATGTATTTCATGCAGATACATCTAAAAATTTATCTAGATATCTTTCATTTTAGAGCTTGGAAACTTAATGAGCAGATGTGTAGCGTAGGAGATGAGCCATAATCTTTGCTCTTGCAGTGCAGTAAACTCAGTGGTGCTCCCTAAGGCTGAACTTAAACACATGAGTTCAGACAAACAAGTTCTCTATATGACAAACCAGAGCACTCAGCCACAGTGCTACGTGATGCTATGGTTTAAGGATTTTCTTCATTAAGAACAACTGTAATACACACCAAAAAAATGTAACCAATGGGCCACTCCGTGCCCACGCTCAACTAAATCATCATCTGAGCAAAAGCAAACACAAAAGCAAATACAACCACTGAAGAACAATAAAATGACCGTAGATCCACAACACACAAAATTCAGTGCATGCATCCAAAGGAATGTTACACACTGGGTACTTTTAGCAAATCAGATTTGGGTGATGTCTGCTCTTGGTGTCCATAAATGTGCATCACATGCACAGGAATGATGCATCGGATCTGCCTTTGGCATAAAGTTGCACTGCTTCATTTTAGTGAAGAACTGAATACCTGAATCTTCTCATTGTCCACAAGCACACTTGGAGACTTATGTATACATAATTGGCTTCGACACCAGATTTGACATTAAACATAAAGCTGACAGAACCTCCATTATGTGACTTCCACAAAGGTGAGAGCACAGCAGCAGCAATAGGAGCTGCCTGCACTGTGCATCCAGCCAGACTTGGACAACCTCCAATTACACCACAGCTGTTTTGTCAACGGAAGAGGAATAAATCAGAGAAGCCTTATTTCTTTTGGAAAGCTGAGCAATCAGCTTCATCCATCATCTTCCATCAGCAAGAACTTTTCTAAATAGGAGCAGAATAGGAGTCAATAAAATATGCTTAAATACCACCCAGGCCTTTCCTTGCTGTGCTTTTAATTTGGTAAATAGATGCCTTCCGTTGGGCAGCACCCTGGAGCCTTTGCTGTGACGTAGATTAAGTGCTCTGTGAGCACTGTGTTGCTGAATTGATCTCAGAGGTATAGCTAACCGTAATGGCCTTGAAACACTGCCTTAAATCTCCCTGCTGCTTAATTCCAAACATTAAGGGGGGCACGTGGGGGCAAGGAAACTCTGAAGTGAAAATATAACTCTTTTTATGGTTTTATTTAAACTATACAAACAAGGGATGCGTGTCTTAGAGGCAAGAAGCAAAAGTGTAATAATTTTTTTTAAAAATCTGATAGAATATATTGTTAATTAAATTAAGTTCAGCCCCAAAAGACACGTTCTGTCTCTTTGATGAGGCTTAATTAAGAATAATATAACAAACACCACCTTGAAATCACCATGTATGAATTAAGCAGCGCGGGGAGGAGAAGAGGCTCTGGTAAAGGAGTTCTTACATCGCTGTGAGGATGTGCCATTCTGGTCACCTTTTATTGCTTTTTTAAGTAACAAATCCTATGTGGCAAATACTTTGGTTTTTGTTATGTTGAAACTGTTTGCCCACAGAACAAAAGAAAGCAGCACAAGGGATGCAACAGAGACCCCATGTCCAGAAGCTCTCAAGTGTTGCTTTCGGTGTAGAAGAGCTCAGCATCACCTTCAAACCAACCAACCCTAAACACCATTGGATCGTGTCAGGTATAAGCAATGCTTGGAGCAAATCAGCCATGAGTCTGGCCAAAACCAACCTAAATTCGAGATATTCAACCTAGCAAGTCCTGTGATTGCTGTGATGATAAAAGCTGTGAAGATTTTGGTCCACTGAACCGCAGAACTGTTTGTGTTTTGTCAGGTTGGGCAGAAGTTGCTGGGAGCAGTGATTTGAGCAGCACTGCACTCCTGCAGCTCCCAGGACAGCAAACAGCTCTGAGCTCACTGAGATCACAATGGGAAACATCAGAGCTGGGCAGGACAACACAGAGAGGCCCAGAAATTAACATGCAAAGCAATACAGACAAAAATTCACTTTAACCACCGTCAGCCAAAACATGACAGCATCCAGAGCCTCTCAAATAAAATGATTCCTTTGAATAAAGAAATGATGGGGGAGACAGAATGGTAAAAAAAAATAAAAAATAAAAAATGAATGCATTTCTCTTCCAGCATGAATTCAGCAAGCACGAATAAAAGGAAGATGCTGACAGCTGAGAGCTTATCTTCCAATAGATGCATGTGATTGTTTCCAATGTGATTTTGCACTTCAGGAGAAACAGAGGACATCATGCAAAGAAGTCAGCAATGGTGAATGCACATAATGAGTCAGTCAGGGATTTTTGCATAGAATTCAGGGATTTAGACAGATGTCCTGCCAATTTTTAGCAACAACTCATTCAGAGGCCGGCATGGCAAAGCTGCCAGCCATGCACTATTTTTGGTATCTTCCTTCCTGCCATTTAAATGACCTTTACCATTTTTTATAATTCTTGCCTGCAAGCCACGTCTGGTTTAATACTGAATAATTAATCACAGCATGTAGATTCTTCACAAAAGCTCTTTGGGTGCTCAGTGCATCTCAGGAGGGAGCATAAAACAAGTGCAGGTTTCCCTGAAGACCACAAGGGCTCGTCCTAATGCAAGGGAACGACTTGTACAGAGGAGGACAGAGTGCAGAGTGATGGAAGCACTGTGATGGAAGCCCGTTATCTCTGCCACTTATTAAACAATGATCGTTGCACAAGCAAGAAGCAAGTTTTGGATTTGGTTGCAAAGCCTGGGTGTGAAAGCAGACAGAGCTGCTATTCTCTCCTGATATCAACAGCGTAGCTATGATCTATTCCTATGGTAGATAAGGTTTCTTTGCAAAATTATAGCCTCATTGTCACAGGAGGGGACAATTCATTGTGGTGTTTGCTATCAGCCAACAGGACAACACCCCCCAGCAGAGCTCATACACTCCTATATGAGAGCAAAGGGCACCAGACAGAATGCCAGAGAGACCACATGGGGGAACAGCAGCACTATCAACACACAGATTTATCTGAGCCATTTCTACAGCTGAGTAGCATAACCCACCACACAGTAAGCATTCTTACTATCACGCTGCAGCTGCTTATGGCCCTGTCAAGCAATGAGATAAGGATATCTTTCTAGAATTGCAGAACCAAAATGCAGAAGCGTCTTTGAAAAACACACAACTGCTTCTTTGTGTTGCTGGCAGATTTCATACATAAATTAACTGATGTTATGGATGCTTCAAGAAAAACTTCTTTTTATTCCCCACGTGCTTTGCTATTATGCTTAGTAATGCATTACACAAAGCATATGCATTGTCAAGCACCATGGGGAAAAGTAATAAAAGTATCAGTAGGGAAGTAGCAAAATGAGGGGAAAAAAAAAATTGTTCAGCAGTCTTTAATGAGGTCCTTCTGGTCTCCAGCCAAACCTCTAAGAGTAAGGCAGCAAGATTCCAATTAATCGTAAATGAATAAATAAATCCACAAATACAAAGCTTGATCAAAACTCAGTTTTTCAAGGCAACAACACACTGTTCCTAATATAGAAGGGGAACCTTATTAACAAATCCTGTCCTCGTTTTTATTACTTTTCAATTTGAACTCCAGATTTTTAATCAGTCTGAAGCACCTTGTTTGGAACAGAGGCAGTTACTCTCACCTTCATCCTTAACACCTGGCTCAATGAGTGTTGAACATTCCTCCTCACATCTCTGCTCCAAGGACAGCATTTACACCTGAGCACAACTTCCTTCCATCCGGCAACAGCATCTTCTATGGAGTGAGAGGAGTGCATTTTGAAGACATGAGGAACAAAAAAGGAATAACCCCATCTCCTGGCTGAGTGAGCTGCTGTGGCTTTATAACCTCACCCACAGAACTACTGAGCAGGCACTGACTGCTTTCAGCTGAGGCTATAAAAACTGTTCCAAAAGATCAGGTCTAAAGAAAAAAATAAATGTAAGATGCACCTCTGCCCCTTCAGACACTGAGCTCAGTGACTGTGAAATACACATGTGCGTGTGGGAGAATTTCTTTTGAAAATGCTGATTTGTTGAGGCGGCTGCAATTGCTGGGTCAGGAATGGGCTTTGCTTTCCTCTCCTCTGTTAGACTATTCCAGTTGAACCCATTTTATGTTACACAACCATACAACCAGTGAAACAGGAATTGAACAAGAGGAAAAGAAAAAAAAAAAAAAAGAATTATTCCAGGCAAGGAGAAGGGAAAATAAATTTGACTTCTATACACTGCAAGTCAATGTCCCAAGGCCTGAGCTCACCTTGCAGCGACAGCACAGGGCTCATTTTGCCATCATCTCAGACTGAACACTGCAGACCCTGTCGCTCCATCAATGCTGGGCAGCCCAGGCTGAGCACCAGGGGTCAGATACAGCCACCAGGTAGTTCTTGTGCTTAACACAGGATTCACTGCTTCGTAGACAACACAAACAGTCCTAGGAAAACGCATAGCCTTCATTGGCAATTCAGGCTCAGCATCCACACGTGCAGTGGGATGACAGATTTCCTCCCCACATGCACTCAAAGTTCTTTCCCTCCCGCAACACCTCCTCTCCTGCTGCTCCACACAGCCTTCCTCTGCCTTCTGTTTGTCCTTCCACTCCATAAAACTGTGTTATTCCCCCTCCTTGCTGTCCCCTGGAAAGCAATCACAGTACTTTTATCTCTTTTAAAAAGCAATATATATATATATTTATTATTATCTCTTCCTCTGTAGTGATTTAAGGAGGAAAAGCTAACTGTATTTGTTATTAAGAAGAGTTGGAAGGCCTGGCCTGATTTGTTTTCTAAAAGTCATATTTTATGGCAACTGTATTATCACTGTGAAACATCACCTCCTGCTGAGGACACACAGGTCATAAAGCCCTCAAAGTGCCAGGATAAGAGCTGAGAGCCATTGAGTGGGGATGAGAGAAAGGATGAGAGCATGAGAGTGAAAAGCATGTAAGAATTACTGCCTCTGATATTCATTAGTCCAAAATTGAGAAAAGGAAAAGCATTTTTCAAACCTTCAGAAATACTTCCATCACCCTCTGATTATCAGGAATGAAATAATCCACTCACTTGTGACAATGCAGCCTGAGGCAGGTACAGGCTGTGATAGCAACTGTTCCCCTTAGGACAGTGCAGTCGGGGAGCAAACTGCACATATTGAGGAGTGCTGTACCCAAACCCTACAGCTGCCTTTGAGTGCACTGACAGAGGCCCTGAAAAGCAACGTGATAAATGGGAGAGCTGACAGCAGGATGGTTTGCTGGAGTCTCCTCCTCACATGCTCCTTTTTGGGGATACCTATCAGTATCCTCCCACAACCACAGCCTACAGAGACCTTCTGTAGCAGAATGGTGCAACCCGATGATTGCAGCCCTCCCACCCCATTAAACAGTGAGATGTGCTGCAGCCACCTGACTGCCAGCTCCCAACCCAAGTCCTCCATCAGCTTCTGAACAGGGCAAGGACTGTCAGGTACCGTTTTGCACTAAAGAAAATAACTGTATTTTGGGAAAGCCAAACGCTTCCCAAAGCTGTTCCGACTAATGGCCCTGTAATTCACTATAACCTCCAAGTTTATCATTTCGTTCTGTTTGCATGTTTCCAAACGACACGAGAACTGTGTTGTTTGCACTTTTAATCTCGTAACAACTCTCTGGCAGCCGTATGCATGCCATGGGGGAGGCTTCCTAATTTATGTAAAGTATTACAGAAAAATGATCTATATGACAGTTAGGAATAAAAATACTAAATGCAAGTCATTACTCACTGAAGATAATTTGAGAGCATTTTGTCAGGGGACACATTAGATTACAGAGGATAAAGAGTAGGAATAGGTATTCACACATTTATTCATATTTGCATAATCAACTGAAGGAGATAGCGGATGTTCTCTTGGGCCCAACTAGCACACAATGAATTGAACAACAGTTTGCAAACTTTCTATTATTTTTCATGCTATCACCATAGTTGTTTTTTTTTTTTCCCCTGCAGGTTTTGCAAAGAGATGCAGCTCTTAGCCCAGAACTAAGTATGGCCCCTCGATTCAGGTTCTGCTTCCAACTAATAAATGATATGGTGTAAGCTGGCTTACATAAGAAAGATAAAGTGCTACTTTGAACATCATCAGTGTTCCTAGGTGAGCATTCCTGCCACATCTGAGAGCATCAGATGCAGCTTCAGTAGGTCTGACACTTTGCTTTATCCAGAATAGCCACTGTCCACCTCCCAGAAGGAGCACAGACAGCCCCAGCCAGGATGACATCCCCAGAGCTAATGATAAGTCCAGCCAACAGATGGGAGATTAAAGCAATTGTTCAAATCCAGCTTTGAGCGACCGGCTTTTGTGCATCACTTAAGATTTTAAGTGATAATTTTATTGCGATGAACCTGCACATCAATTAGTTCAAGAGGAAGCAATAGCTGCATTATTTCAGGCATGAAAAGTCCAGGCAGATCTGGACTAAATTCCCCAGAATGGGCATTAGGAGAACGTTGTTATGGAGTTGGATTACACAGCCACAACCCACGGCCAAACATCAGGGATGCACAAAGCCACAAGCTGGGGAGCACCAACCACTGTCCCAAACACAGCTGGGTTACAAAGGCAGGTTGGAATTGTAGGTAAAGTTTTGTTCCCTCGTAGGAAACAGTTGTGTTTGAGTTCTTAAATTCCTTAAAACTAAACTGAAAATTAAAGGAGAAAATGTTTGCAAGACAGTTTCCTGATAAGGAAAATTTTCAAACTCTGATGAACTTCATTTGAAACTGATTCTCTACAGCAGATGTTTCCAAGAACCTTCTTGCATTTTCCAGACTGGCAGAACCATGATTTATGGAACACCGGATGGAATGACAAATGTAATTCAAAGCAAAGAAGCAGAAGTATCTCAGAAGCTGCTTCTCGTGCTGTCATTTGAGTTCAGAGGTTTGGAGCTGTTTTCATAACAGAGAGTATGTTAACAACATAACATGCTTTATTATTTTTTTCCCCTTAAATGCAACATCCTGAACAGCAAGAAACAAGCATCAAGATGTCAGTCAAATTACTTTGCTTCATACTCTAGCAACTGTTTAATTTTAAGCACACAGCATCCACATGAAATTTCCCAAACAATTGCATCAAGAAGGTTTCATATATTTTAAAAGACGACAGCAGCGTTGGTTAAATGTTGTATGAAAGATTCATTGCAAATTAAAAATTAAGAAGTACTCAACAGATCCAAGAAGAGTTCAAAACCATCTGTTACCATAAATTACCTTTTTTTTTTTTTTTTCCTTTATCTTAACATTGCCATATGCCATGTTATAGGAACCCCTCAAAGCTATGTTTAGCATTGGACACCCAGTGCTCTCAGTACAGTTGCCCTCAGTACAAGAAAGACATTGAGATTTTGGAAAGGGTCCAGAGGAGGGCAACTAAGATGATCAGGGGGCTGGAGCACCTCCCCTATGAGGACAGGCTGAGGGAGTTGGGCTTGTTCAGCCTGGAGAAGAGAAGGCTGCGGGGTGACCTCATTGCAGCCTATCAGTACCTGAAGGGAACCTACACCCAGGAGGGGAGTAAACTGTTCAAAAGGGCTGACAACAGCAGGACTAGGGGAAATGGATCCAAGTTGAAGGAGGGAAGATTTAGGTTGGATGTTGGGGGGAAGTTCTTTACAAGGAGAGTGGTTAGGCCCTGGAACGGGCTGCCCAGGGAGGTTGTGGATGCCGCGTCCTTGGACGTGTTTAAGGCCAGGTTGGACGGGGTCCTGGGCAACCTGATCTGAATGTGGATGTTTGGTGGCCCTGCTAGGCAGGGGGGTTGGAACTACATGATCCTTGGGGTCCCTTCCAACCCGGGTGATTCTGTGTGATTCTGTGCTGGTACTGAGCTCTCAGTGCAGCACAACACACAACTTGGCTTCGTAAAGAGGCCCAGGCCAGACTCATGGGTTCTAACATGATTTTGCATAACGCACCACATCCATTCCACCACCACATGGTTACTGTGCTTACTACTGCTCCAAAAATCGGAGCAAAGAAAGAACTGTCTCCCTTTAAAACACTGTTTTATCACTGTATAGGACACCATCACTGCAGTACAGAGCTGGCAATCTGAACTTGCATTACTTTCCTCCAGCTCTCCTCCTTGGAACGTGATGAAGTACGCATGACTGCTAATGTGCTCTGTTATGACATGAGCTGAGAAAATAATTTCCATTAATCTGAAGTGATTAAAGTTCATTTGCTCCTGTCTGCAACGCACCAGAGAAGAATGTATAATGCACCCAAAGTTGCTGTAACATCCTTTAACACTCTTGTGCTTAGTTTGCTTTGTTTTAATGGTACTATCAAGTTCATCTACACCCACACGCTGACTTCCAACGCAACTGAAATGTAAATGATGATGGTTCTGCTCTCTGGAGGAGCACAGACCAGCACCTATGATACATGGGCTGCCAGAAGCTCCCAGCTGGGATAGCACCACACAGTGCCAGGATAGGAGCAGGCACAGCACTGCATGGGATTCCCTGGGAACGCAGGCAGCATTCCATAAGGATGGGACACATCCACCAGGCAGAAATCCAACCAACACAGCACAACCCAGGAAGCTCAGAAAACCCCTCAGAAAACTTCTTCCTTTACATCCACCTTGCTGAGACCCAGGAAACCTTGTAAAGCCCAAACCACCACATGGCTGGTAAGACTGGGTGCCCTGGGGTTCACTTACAGGTATGAACAGAAACCAACGCCAGGTCTGCACAGAGATCTCTATCAGCTGCATGGAAACCTGTCTTCATGGAAGTCATCCTCTAGCAGCTGCCTGAACCTCTTCAGGGAACAGGAGTGGTTGGAGGATTAAATTTACACGTTCCCATCATACCGAGGGCGCTACTAAACACACAGGTTTCAGTTAGGTGATGTTTATGCTCATCACAAGACCTCACAAGCACTAAATACAGAATTTAAGAAAAAGCAAAACAGATCCAGTGAGGGCAAAGAGGAGTTAGAGACCTAAGTCTGCACTTCTAGACATTTACACAACATCCATATTAGACATCTATACCCATTTGTCTGGTCAATGTGATGGATGATTTGATTGACTGGTCAATGTGATGCATGTTTTATATTCCCTGTTCTGTTTCTACTCCAGAGAACACTGAAATAGGCCCCCACAGAGCAGCTCCAACAGAACAAACACCAAACTGCTCTGCTAGATGTCTGACTGCAATGGAATAGACATGGAATAGAATGGGCTCACTGCACTGCACGACAGGCAGCTGCAGACATGAGCAAATAACATCATTTCTTTGCAACGGAAAGAAGTCAGTTTTCCTAAAAACTACAGTTGAATAGGAGGAAAAACTCTTGACATGGAGATCAATGAGACTTTGGAGGGGGCTTTCTTGGGAGAAATGGTGCAAACATCACCTGAGACTTCTATAAGCAGTCACAGTTCAATCCTGGAAATTGTTCTGTAGGGAACAGCTCTGCACTGACAGAGGGGATTAAGGTGACCCACAGTCACACCTCCATCTGCTTTTCCTTCTCAAAATCACACGACACACACATAAGTTGTACCCATATGAATTCCTAGTATTAAAAAATCCCACTATAATTTTAAAAAGCATATTTCCAATGCAGTTGAATCTACCTTACAACAGCTCCACCAAGTGCATTTTTTCAGCCCCCTAACACAATTTCAATATCATTTTTGCATGTTAGAATCCTACTTCCGCATGAAAAGAGAGCAGAAAAAAAAAAAAACCATCCCAAAAATGTTAAAAATAAATTATTAAAATGGTTTGCAGATAATGCTGGTGCCTCGGTGCCAGGTAACTGCACACAGCAGATTCGATGCTGTAAACCCTTTTATGAGACTTCAGTACTTAGAAATGAAATTGTAAATGGGAAAGTGCAGATCGCTTTGATTTAGAAAATTGCTGCCATTAACCAGTTTACAAAGCATCTACTGTTTCAGCATCATTATCCCCAATGTGTCAAACTAAGTGGTTTCACAATATTTAAAGCACTCCCAACTTCCTCATAAATATCATTTATATTCCACGTCTGCTATTCAGTGAACTGAGACACATCATTTACATTCCTCTGTAGTTACATAGCATGATTACCTGAACAGATACAGCCTTACCTGACATAAATAATGAGAAAACAAAAGGCCATGGCTGTTCAAAAGGTTTAATAACTCAGGTAGCATTAAGGCTTGTAATGCACTCTGCGTTTGGAAGCATTAAAATGTACAGTGTACAGAAAAAGTAGAAATGCTCAAACCTTTGGGTCACTGCACGCTTTCCTACTTGTAGTTGTGTACATGTGGATATTCCATATACCTCAATGCATGGCCAATGTTATGCAGTGGGTATTTTCCACTTTTATAAAAGGTCTGGTCAAGTTTGTTGAAGGACAACTGAACATTTCCATTACTTAATTGTAGTACAGCTGAACGTTGCTATCAAACTGAATATCAGGAGATGATTCTGTTCATCAAACCACTGCAACTTTGCTCGTATGGATATGCACACATCCTGGAATTGTAGATTTGAGTGTATTTACATTTGTCCTTCAACACTTCCATCACTGATTTCAGTTTCAAGGTCCCTTCCAAGCCAAACCAATCTAAGACTCAATGAAATTCAGCAGATTGTGGCCACATGCAAAACCTTTCCCCGTTCTTTGGCATCTGAATGTACACGGCCCAAGGTCAGGTTTTCAATCAATATACTGATAAAGTGTATCAAAACCAGCAGGTTATTGCACTGCATACACAGCATACAGCAGCACAACTCCCAGGTACCCAAGGTTAAACCATTGAGAAATTCACGATGAGAAAAGCATGGACAACTGGCATAGAAAGGAAGGGCAGAAACAGGCAGAAAATGCTAACAAATTGACAGGTTCCTGCATACAGACACTCAACTTCTCAATGCAGACAAATGAACACAGCAAAACGTATGCTCTAAGTGTACATTTATTGCTATGGAAATGGCTGTTTGCCAAGAAAATCCTGACACAGGTAAGACAAACTCCTCTAGAACTTATTAAGGAATCCACAAGCATCAAATAAAGATAGATGATTGGTTCTCCAGGTGGTTTTACAGGCCATTTTTTCCATGAATTACACTGCTGACCTGATAATTCATTTTCACATGGAGACAAAGGGAAAGGAAAAAGGAAAAGCATAGAACAGGAGAGACACGGCTCAAAGGTAAAGCAATTAGGGAAAGCAGAGAAGCGTAATGGTATCAATAGAAACATTTGGGTTAGAAGGAACCTTAAACAACACTGAGTTCTATCACCCTTCCCACCAACAGGGCCAGCCTTACGTGGTAAGGTTGCTCAAAGCCCCAGCCAAGCCATTAATTGAGCACTTCCAGTGGGGAATGGGACATCCCTGGGCAGCCTGTCCCATGTCTTCCCATGAAATATTTATATATCATCACCCAAGCGACACTGCTAACCCTATCAGCATCCAGCTCCTTCTTCCCTTCCGTTTCTCTCTATTCAGTTTGACTTTGCCAGAAGCAAAATCAACCCGGTAAGCAGCTGCAGAAAAACAAGGAAATTTATCTCATTTTATTTCTTTGGAAGAAGACATCAAAAAGAAATCCAGCAGCGTTAAACGTTTGAGGGGAGAAACACATCTTTCTGCAAAGATGTGCATCTTCTATCATTTGGCAGAACTGCAGCCATTCAAGACCTATGATTCTGCAGAGAAACTCAATTGTGATGATGTCCCAAGGCAGTTTCAATTTACAATTAAACCCCTCTGCATTGTAACAGTTTGTTTCACTGCATCACTGATGCAAATTGCTGTGCGTTGCTTAGTTTAGAGGGCGAGTTCTTCCTGCTCCTGCCCATCTGCATGTGTTTTTCTCACCCTGCCACCTCCTGCCCCAAGGGGCTTCACAGAAATTCTTCTCTGTACAGCAACAGCTTAGGAATAGCTTTGTTCTAAACCCAGTGCTATAAAGACATTTATGAAATCAATGAAGATTCTTACATTCATCCAGCAACAGCATAGAAACTGTAACCTCTGTTCAAGTGTAGCACAGTGCTCTACTTTGAAGCATTCACAGCACACATCTTTCCATCCTCTGAATGCATCTGCGTGTGACAATAGTGCAGTCTATGAGACGGAAATTGTGGGACTTGAATTCAATGGCCACTTCTATGTATTGCTTCATAGAGCCTGGGCTGAAAAGAAAGCAATCAGCACGAAGCATCAGCAGGCAAGTTTTATCCTTGGGTCAAGGAAAACCTTCTATTCTATGTTCTGTGAAAGATGTGGAAACTTTTTTTCCAACTTGCAGACATCAGATTATACAAACATCAGATTTTTTTTCATGGCTGTAATCAACATCCTAAGAAAACCTTGGCTTCCAATGAGCGGTCTTGAATGACATGGGTCAGCCTTAAAGTATAGTATATACTTTATATAGTATATAAATATAGTATATATTATTATATATATACTAAAAAGTATATATTAGTATATATACTTTTTATAGTATAAAGCCAAAAACATCTGATAGCATTTATTAAAAAATAATCAGTGATGTATTCATTGATCCCATCACCTCTCACTTTCCCTTGCTCAAAACCCAGCTGGAATAGGGAAAACCCACCCTACTTCTGAATAATAATATCACAGCACTTAAAGTAAAGATATACAGAAGAAAGCAAAGGAGGACCTAGATATTCTAAATCCCACTTTTTAATCATTGCTGTGTTAGCCAATAGAGGTCAGCACTTTGGGTAGCGTAAGCCCATGCAACTCCACCAGTTTTAGCAGAACAGTGAGAAATTACAGATGCTGAGAATCTCACTCATTAACTATTTGATCTTGAACACCTTTCTGAAGGTCGTGTTTTAATAGCTCCCTGTCTGCCTATCATTCACCTTTTGGTAAATACAAAAAACTACTAAAGTTCAATCCAAAGAATAAAATGAAACATCAAAAATGACTGAAGTTCCCTCCATGCATCCCCTCCTTCAACACTGACCACACTGCAAATAGATTATTTCCATCAAGAATAGATTACAGTCATCCCAGCATGACTTTGGCCACTCCTTATTGATCCACCCCTCCTTACTGATCCACCCCAGCCGTGCCACACAACCAGAGCTTCATCAAAAGCCAAACACAACCAGCAATGCTATATGTATTCATCAGCAAATTCCTTTGCACAGACTCTGCACTTTTTTTTCCCCTTTTTTGATCCTCCAATATTAAAGGTGCTCTGTGCTTCACAGACATTAAGTCAAGGGCTTTGTTCCTAGGCTTCTAACAAACACGTACTGGGAGTGTTCTATCACAGCGCATCGCGTACAAGAATGAGATCTTCATGCTTCAACAGTGTGCTGGTGGGTTTTGTTTTGTCTCCCCTCTGTTTGTTTTTAATATCACTCTCAATTAACTGAGCTCAAAAATCTAAACTTGGACTGACATTGACGGACTTCAGAAACGTTGCCAATGAAGCCACTGTTTCATGCACCTTCCCTCAGAAGATCACTTGATTTAAACACAAGTTTAATTATAATTTAAGTAAATAATAATTTGGGAGATCTACAAGCATTCCTTTTCGCCTAATTTGTACATGCTGAAGAAAACAGAGGTAGACACAGAGGCAAAGATTCAAGAGTAGCTGCTCCCTTCCCTATTGCCAGAGCCAGCTCCAGCATTGATCGTCACTTGAGCAATTGATTGATACCACAGACAAAATGAAAGGCACATGGGCTGAGTATTGGGGATCTGAGGGCTTCCATCTTTTGCTCTTTACAGCTCACAATGTACCACTATTTAGAACAGCAAGATTTAGAGAAAGAAAAGAACAGCTTCAAGGAAAATGCAACTGCAGAAAACAGCACTTCCAAGTGAAGGAACAACACATACCAACCCATGTTCTGCTCCCTTGGGCTTAAAGCTTTATGTGATGACATTGCACAATGCTTCTGCAATAATTTTTAAACCCACTTATCACTTCATCCCCATTTTGTAGAATAAGACAAAAGAAAAGAGAAAGCTCAAGCATCAGCACACTGAACAAGTCATGGTTCACACCAAGTTCAATTTCAGGTGCTTTTATATTGGGGCCTGCAGCATGATCACTGTATGGTAATCACAACTCCAATGATCCCTTCTCCCAGCATATTCCACATCTTCAAAACACAGATCACATAGAACTCACCTGGGCCTTTTCCTTCATGCCACACCAAGCTTGAAAAACAATTTCAGATTAGAGCTTAATGGAATTACACTGCTTTAGTTACTGTTGAAGCAATAAATGCAGTAATCCTAGGCTGCTCCCAGGCAGTGCCGTGCAGGTCCCAGGCTGCCATCTGCTATAAGAGCCTTGGGGGGGCTCCTTCCAAACAAAATCAAGTTCCCAAAGTTGCATCTAGATGGATTCAGTGACTGCAAATCTACCGTGGGTTGCAATTGCATTTTCTTTTCTCCTTACAGCTCCAAAATGAGTATTCCGTTACACAGTCATCTTCTGCTTTCAGTGTTTTTGACTCAAACTAACACTTATTGCATTGATACCTAAAAAACAGCTCCAGAGTTCTAATGTTCCTATTCAGGAAGGCAAGCTGTTCCTAAAACAGGATTCCTGAAAGCTGTTTGTGGAGGCATGGAAGCAGAACTTCGTGTCCTGCTAACCAGAACAGACAAGCAATGCACTATAGGAAAGGTACAGTTAGTTTTCTCTGATCCTACAGCACTGCTTCAAATAGCGTAGATAATTATTATTATATATTCTAAATAACTCTTCATGCAGAAGTTCTTAGCTGCCATCCTAGCAACCACCTGAACATCACTGACCAGGGAGAACCCCACTTACAGAAGCTTTAAACATCGAGCATGCCCTCAGTAATGGAGATTTTACAGTGCTTTTGGAAATAAGTTGAGCTTGTTGAATGGTCTGAGCATAACACTCCACACACAGCTCAGCGTGGCTGCTGCTAAGCAGACAGAACTGCTTGAAAAAGATTGCCAACATTTGCCAGATTTTCAGTTTCCTAAACATTTAGCACTGTTAAGTCTCCTGAGAATCTGACCACGTGCATCTTTCAGGACAGTTTCCAAGAGCTTTACTTTGAATAAAGAAAAGTGGAAGCCAATATCACGTACGCTCGTATGAAGCTATAAAATAAAATAAATGCAGTCACTGCCAACATCTCCAAAACATTTTAACAAAAACATGCATTTAAGCAAACCCTTCGGCAGCACTGCTTGGCTCCCACTTCCTACCATGCTGCTCTCAGAGGGAGATTTGTCACTGAGCTGAGTGATGGCTCACGCCGGGCAGATTTACCTCGTTCAGATTAATCGAGTCACAGAACAGCAAAACTTCTGCCTGAGGTCTTTGTCAAATCTACAGAAGCAGATCCAAATCGCAGCGCAACGTTTTAATCAAGTGACATATGGCTCCTTCTACCTCTATATTTCAAAGCTACGCCGTGAAGTACCCTTCTTGCAAAGAGTTCTTTTTTAAGAACTCTCTAAAAATATCACGTGTGTGTCACTAAAAAGAGAAAAAACTGAGCTGTGGGAGGAAAAAAAACAACAATTTTTTTTTAGCAGAGCAGAAAATGAAGCATTGCTCTGGTTGCTCTCACATTTGCACCTTGAAGTCTTAACACAGCAGTGGTTCTGTGCTGGTGGAAGAACCACACCGGACAGGCAAAGCTGGGAGGCAGTTTGGAAAAAGCTCTTGAAGATCACAGCCACAGAACAGCCCCTTCACTTTAACCTGATGGGTTCAACCTAATCTTTCTATTTCATGGGTGTTTAACCATTCCATACCCTCTCCCCATCAGGGGCAGCTGCTTACATCCCTTGGTCTCAGCACACAGCAGTGCAGGTGGAGTCGGAGCTCATGAAGTGCTGCAGAACTCGATCTCAGTGCTGAAGCAGCTCTATGGCCACCTTCAATGACAGGATTACTACAGACATTAGAAGCAACAGTCAGGAGCATCTCTGCCCAGTCAGTACAAGAAGTGTTCCCATCTCTGGATAAAAAATACCACAGTAGGGAAAATGTCCTGAGAGCAAAACTCCTACATTGACTAAAGCAAAAACTGCAGCTTGGCTGGGACAAGGAGCAACCCCCAAAGCTGCACTGCCAAATACAGCCACTCCTTGTCACTCAACTGTGTTAAGAAGGAAAGACTGTCAGAGCCCAGACAGGGGCTCAGATATTTCTTAACCTGCCATTTAAAACTCTTTTGTCACACATCAGCATTTCTGCTTTCAAGGAAGTGCACTGCTCTGAAAATACATTTTTAAAAAGACAGCTCTGAATGGCACAGCTGTCAGCAGAGCTGTGTGTTCACAGTGCCATCCACACCTCCTTACAGCATCGCAGGCAGAGCTGTGATGGGTGCCTCAGCACCTCGGGGTGCCAGCAGACAGGGAGGGCGAGCTGCTAAATGCAACGCAGTCATGGGATCGTGGGGATCTCCCACACGTGTCTCCAAAAAAGGTTTTGGCACTCATTGTTTAACAGCAGTGACTGACGTGACCTCGGTAAACAATCTGCTTCTAATTAACAGTTATGCTTAAAAGAGCAACTCCCCTGTCAAATCAGGACATAAGGTTAAGTGCACTGATGGAGCAGACTGGTACCAGGCTGTCACACCCTCTGATGTGCCATCATGGTGTATGTGTACACTGGGTAGCAACCAATTATTCCCAACTTCAGAAAACGTGCCAAAAGCCCTTTCTAATCACATATTTCAATAGCTCCTATCCTGAATTCCTATGAAGTATCCCACATCCAATTCCACACGATGATTCCGAGCTCTGTGAAGGGATTCAGAGGTCGTATGGATGCTGAATGAAACAATCCCTCATCATCAGACAACGCTCACCAGTACACATCGTATTAGAGTTGTCTGATCAAGCAAAGAACATCCTGTGGACAGACAGTAAATGCCTGCACAGTCAACAGGAGAAGTTCCTGCCATCCCCAAGTGACAGCAAATGCTGGGGGCAGGCAAAGCACAGCAACGTATTTGACAGTTGGCATCGTGGTTAAGCAGCTTGAATATTTTTCCAAGCCTTTGAGAGAAGGTTGCAGAGTTGAGGTCATGGTTTATAAAATTCATTGACAGCAGTAATTTGTCTAAAAAAAAAATAAAAAAATCACCCAACTTAATTCACATGCAATTAAATCATTATTTAAATGGCA